CCCTCCTTGTGTAGTGCTCTGAAAAGTCACAGGCAAGCAAACAGGTGGCCTGGGGAAGTTCCTCAGGTTTCTGATTTGTGTGTATGACTTAATTAAGACACATCATGCTTTAATGACTAGACCATCCATGATTTGAGACCTGCATATCTGAACTTCCTTCTGTATGGGTTCTCTGTGGGGCCCTGAATGACCAACTTGCTGGATTCCCCTCAGTTCTGTGTGCTTAAAGTAAAAATTGGTTTTCCTCTGCAGCCTGCCTGAGAAGGGTTTTGATATTAACCTTCCAGTGGTCAGTGCACTGAAGTGTTAGCCTTTCTAACGTTCAGAGGCCAAAGGAGATCAAGGCTGCTTTCCTTTCAGTAGTCACTAGCAGGAGGAGGTAGTGCAAGTGTGGGCCTCGGGCTCCTGTGCCCCCATGCTGGCATGGAAGATAGTGCTGTGCTGACAGACCTGCTGCTGCTCCCCTGATTCAAGGAAGGTATAACCCATTACAGCTGCTGCTTACAGTCTGTTTGTCTTACTGCTTCCAGCTTGTATGTGGTATCACCACAGCCGAAAAGGGAACTGATCCGTCTGCAGGGTGGGAGTGGGTGTTACGGGGGAGTGGGTGGAGGTGTGGTGTGGCTGCCTTCCCTGTGGCATTAGAGGCAGCATCCGCACTGTGCTTTTGAGATTTCTCAGGGCTGATGAGTTTCAAAAGATACAAGGCCACAAAAAAAAGTAGGAGTTTCTGTTTGTGTAAGTTTAATGAGCTTTTACTAAAGGTTCAGTGCATAGACTCTGACCTGTTTCACTTCAGGTGTCAGGTATGCTTGAACTCTAAAGTGAAACATTAGCTAACCCATGTCTGGATTTTTTTTCCTTCAAGAGGCCTGAAGTCTCCAAATATTTTCTAGGATGAGAGTCCTTTAATTTTCATGACTAGATTTTTGACAACTGTAGGGGGAGGACTTAAAGTTTAAGGGGTGTGTTTACTAAAATGAACTGCTAGCAAGTGGAAATGTTCTGGTGTCTACTCTGGGGAGACGAGGGGGAGTGTGTGTTGAATCTCAAATTGGTGCACTTGAAAATGAATGGATAACAAGCTAGTGTTTCCTCTGCCCCCCCCCCCCCCCCCCCCCACCCACTCC